GTGTGTGTATGTGTGTGTGCGTATGTGTGTGTGCGTGAGAAAGAGTGTGTGTGCGTATGTGTTTGTGTGTGTGTGTGTGTGTGTGCGTGTGTGTGTGTGTGTGTGTGTGTGTGTGTGTGTGTGTGTGTGTGTGTGTGTGTGTGTGTGTGTTTGTATGTCTGTAATGGTTTCTCTGTTGTGCCTATCTGCGACCACCAGAATAGACTGTTCCCTATCTTAATTTAAACGTATGTGGCTGTTAAGTCCCCTGTTAGTTGTCCTCTCCGAATGATTGTTGTTGTTGTTGTTGTTGTTTTTGTTGTTGCTGTTGTTGCTGCTGCTATTTCTGTGGTTGTTGTTTTTGTTGCTGCTGCTACTGTTTCTGTGGTTGTTGTTGTTGTTTGTTTTTTGTTATTTTTTGTTTTGTTTTGTTTTTGCTGTTTTTGTTGTTTTTAGCTTTAGTAGAGGTTTTACGGCGCTCGAAACTGCACAAGGTCATATAAGCGCTAGAAGATTAGAGGTGTTACAAGAGAGTAACAAGGACGATAGATATTTATTGATAGGAAAGAAGAAGCAAACCACACCACTACATCCACCAACCACCCACGTTTTTGTTTTATGTGTCTGTCGCCAATGAGTTTAGATAACAACAGAGTCAGTATTTCGTTTGTTTGGGCCCTTGCAACATCCCGACAAATACTTCCCGCCATGGTAACGGCTTCCTTCAGGCAACCTCTCCTTTTTTTTGTCCTCCTTGTGAAACCGCCGTCTGCTGAGCAGAAGGTCATGTTGAAGCTGATGGTAGGAAGCTTCTCTAGGGCTTCCTAACCCCGATGTGCCAGAAAGGTTATTGGAATGATGTCGGGGTCGGGTGCCCCGCAGGTTTTCCTTTTGGAGATTGAGGGTGTGGTGGTGGAGCGGCCAGTGCGCTCGTCTCCAAAGCGGAAAGTGTGGGTTCGAGCCTCGATTCGGACGCAGAGTTTTTTCACTCCCACCTGCCCACCCAGCAGTAATGAGTACCTGACTTCGGGTTGTGAAGGTAAAGGACTCGTAGAAAGAGACTGGCCACACTACCACAATATTATTATGCCGAAAGCCAAGGAAGTTGTCTCACTAACAAAGCAGTCCTCAATGTCCGGATCGGATGCGGGAACAACTTTATAGCGGACAGTAGCACAGTGAATGATTGTGACGTCGGGCTGAGCCTGTTGCTCGAATGCGTTATTCACTCCTCTATCGAATATGCCTGCTTTCCATCTGTCAGAGAAGCCCCACCCCCCTCTCCCATCAGGGCAATGCTATTAACTGAAGTTGTCTTTAGGCAATTCCCAAAGGAGGGATATTAACCTTGTCATCTTCTTAGGCACAGTAGAATTGTAAATCGGCTGATTTATCAACGTCATGCTCATACTGTGCCGGAACAACAAAGGGGGGAACTGTTGCTTTTTCGTTCCCCATCCCTACTATCGTCATTTTTTGTTCTCTACTTCTTTTGTATGTTGGTCACTCTCTTGTGAAATGCTATTTCCGGGTTGCCTTGATAGTTAAAGCAGGCGTTGTGCAGTTGACGCTTGAGAGTTGAGCAGAGTAAGCCTGATTCCCCGCTTGTACTTCTCTTGTTGTTGTTGTTGCTGTTATTGTTGTTGTTCTTTCTTCTTCTTCTTCTTCTTCTTCTTCTTCTTCTTCTTCTTCTTCTTCTTCTTCTTCTTCTTCTTCT